TGGAGTGAATAACTCCTGGAGCTCGTGTCTAAATATTGTCTGTCCCTCTTCCCTCCTTCTCTTCCTTTGCAGCTTCCCACATCTGGACACACATAAAGCCTCTTCCCTTTCAGTCATTTTGAACAGGTCGGACTCGATGATCTAATACGTCCCTTCCGACCCTAACATCTATGAAATCAATGGAGTGATTCTCAGCCAGTGTGTCGCAGCACCCTGGGGTGTCTCGAGATCCTTTCAGAGTTGTTGTGAGGTGCCATGCAATGTTAGCATCACGAGGTGTGCAAACAAGGTTCATGAGAGGAACTCAGGTTTCCAACAGGACTCCTGAGTATCAAAACCGTTCGGTCCTGTTGTGGGCTTGCTGAGTTCTTTGCAGCAGCAGCATTTAGTATGCAGCTGTGGTATTTTTCTGTAGTCAAAAAAACAAGTGAATGCTTAAGAGCCGATGTTTTCCAAGGGGGGCCATGCATCTGACAAGTATGGTGCTGTATTAAGTTCTCAGTTCACTATCACTTCCTCTCAGCCACTCATGCTCTCCCTTTAGCTTTTCCAATTCAGTTTGCTCTGCAGACATAGTCAGCACAGTTGCATCCTAATGCAAAATATCCCAGGAAGAGCAAGTCTTTGCACTCCCTGCCCTGCAGACTCCATCTCTTGCCCCCCTCCTCAGGAGGTAAGCATGGGATAAGAGGAGCTCTGGATCCCTTTTGTTGCCCCCAAGCCAGTGTCCTTGAGGGGGGACTTTAGAGGCAAGCGTATGGCCATGTGCACTTCACCCATTTCCAGCCCTACACCCCGTCCATACTGGAGTGGGGGCTGGAAATGGGTGAGGTGTTGCAGGGGTTCAGTTATCAGAATGGATACGCAGATCTGTCCAGCTGTGGGTTGCGCGTGGCCCCCAGGCTCCGGGTCCAGACACTGCCCCAGCTGCTGCCCATGTCCCTCCACTGCCTGCCCCCATATTGCTGAGTGTCTGTTTTCCCTTAGGCCAGTGCTCAGATCAGTGCTAGAAGACGGCACAGCTGGCAGGAGCCCACAGCCAGGAGAGTTGTGGGGACGGTGCAAAGGGATTCATGCTTATTTTCTTGCAGATGAAGGGACTGAGCCCACTAGCCCCGTGTGCAGGGTACACCTAGGCCACGTGTCCCATAGCTCATCATTGAATGCCTTTTTTTCCCCTCAGATCAGTGCTAGAACACAGACAGCTCCAGGTCCCTGAGCTTCATTGAGGACATTTCCACCTTCCACCCCCAGTGGCACCAGGTTAGGGGGAAAGAGGCCACAGGCTTTCACTTGCTCTGCTGCTTTGCTTGTGCAGCAGCGGAGGTTAATGCAGCGAGGCCCCGTGCTATGCAGAGGCGTGTTGGCTTTAAGCATCCTGTGTGCTCCCTGCAGATTGATGATTTTGACCCCTGGCTGGTATTACCTCGCTGGCTGGGGGAGGCAGGGCTGGTGGGAACGCTAAGCTCTTAGCGGTCATCTGTCTTAATTAGTTTACAGTTTAAACAAGAGTCCACTCTTCCCTTCCTTCAAAGGGAGTCTCCTCTCTCCGTGGTTGACGTCTTTGAGGGAGGAAGCCACCAGGGAAGGTTATCAGGAAGGAAGAGCTTCGGGCTCTGCTTTCAGAGCGGTGTGAGGGAAGATGCAAGCATGAATCCTATCAGCACTGCCTTGCGCATCTGAGTGGCGTGTGAGCCATTGCAGGGGCGCAGACGCATCCAGACACAAGGTTTGGTGGAAGCTCAGTCCACGTGGCATCCCACAGAGCTCATTTCCCAAATGCAGATACTGCATCAGTCGCTACAAACCTCCATTTAATCCCTCCCCAGGGTTCGGTCCTGCCGGCCCACAGGTGGCTCACAGAGCTTGCTGTTGGGAGCAGACCCGCTGACTTCCAAAGACAGTGCACCCACAAACAGGCCCTGTAAGCCTGATTGTGAGGTGCCGAATGGCGGCTTTACCACCTGCCTCAGCGAGCAAATTCAAGCCCCGCACTGGTTATGTGGAGCCCATGCTCTGTAGGTGGGTGTGATTCCTAACAAAGTTTCCTCTAAAGGAAACATTAAAGTAGCTGTAATAATCGCTGCCTACTTAATAACCCTTCCAGCCAAATCTTCAGTCTTCTTTTAATGAGCTAAGCCAACCAGCATTCATTATTTGACACGCACCCAGCTGCAGCCAGCACCTCCTGGCAAAAACAGGGCCTTGCTTTGATGGCGTAATTAAAGGCATGCCATCTTATCTTTTGCAGACTGAGAAGTCTGGGCCTAAGCAGCAATCAGGACACGGGTTCCTCATCATTTCTCTATCAGTTGGACTGACACATTTTTCATGCCCTCGTAAAGAGTAGCTGCAGGGCATGGCAGGACGCAGTATTTTTGTTATCGGTGAGAGGGTCTGTTGCTTCGTGAACTGATTAGATTTTTTTCCTCTTTTACCTTCACCTGAAGTTAGATTTGGCTTCAGCACCGATACGTTCAGAGGACTTTTTTCCGTTTGCCATCTCTTACACTAAAGCACCGTTATCAGTCTAACACTGCATGGCTGTCCTCACCACAGGTCTGCATTACTTAAACCAGAGCTTCATTTATGGCGCTGTGCCCGAGCTCGCCTGCTTGACCTTTTGGAGTGGTGATTATAATGTTATCTATGAGTCTGTTCTGTTGCAAAGCGCTTAGGTGGTCTCTCCTGCAGAGGCGTCCTTGTTGGGAGACCTCCCTGCTCCATCCAACAGGCCTGGAGACATGCCCTCCTCTGCCTTAGGAAGAGCCTGTGAGTTTGTTGATGGGGCTGTGAGAAAGCTGACAGTCCGCAGCTGCCTGCCTGCAGCAGGACTGCAGTTTTATCCCGATCCTTGCCGGGAATAGCGCTTGACAGGTGTTTTGCAGTGCTGTGGACATGGCAGCTTGTAAATCCTCCCTCCACCACATAGGTGAGTGGTGCAGGTGGATAAATGAGAGACAGAGGGGCTGAGGCCACACATGAAGTTAGTGATGGAAGTGCTGTGAGCTGAGGAGCTTCTCTTTGATCTGGCAGACCTCCCCCCCCCTCGCCCTGGCTGCATCCCTGCACTCTTTGTGTTTCGGAGGGGTTTGTTGTACCACGTCTTTTTGGGGAGGGGGAGCCCACCCTTCTGCCATCCTGCCAGGGAGGTGCAGTCTGGTTCCCTGCTCGGTCTCCTTCCTTCTCTGGCACAGCTTTCTTTTCCCTTTTCCTTTCTCCTCTGTTGCCTTCTCTCATTTCTTTCCTTTTTCTTTCTCTCTGGCTTGCTCTGTTTCCTCCCTGTTCCTGTCTCCCCTTTTATATCTTTTTTGGAGCAAAAAGTGCTCCGGACCTCTCAAAAACATGCCACGGTGACAGTGTTAACACTCTCCATCACGTGTAAGTGAGGGAGCTTTTCCCATATTACAATGCAGGAGGGAACCCACCAGCAAGACTGCCAACCCTGTGCGACAGTCCAGCTCTCACGTGTGTGTGCACGGACACAAGTGATCCAGGTCTCACTCACGTGCAGATACTCACTGATAGAGTTAGTGGGTTCCCTGTCATTTTCTCACAGAGAGCTGTTCTGGTTGGGATTCCTTCCGCGTGGGCATCTGCCCCATTGATAACATCAGTCCTGGAGTGTCTTAGGACAAGAGAGACACCAGGAAGTGTTTTGATTGGAACATTTGGTATTTCCACCGCTCCCGTGTCCGTAAATATTCCCTGCATGCCAGCAGCGTGAGCTTCTGTCATGGCACAGGCAGAGACCTCCGTCTCACTCCAGCCAAGAAAAAAGCCAGAGCAAGTCCTGACGTTGGAAGCGAGCCCTTTTTAACAGGCTAACTAAATAATAGAGTGAAAAGGCAAGTGTTCCCGCTCCAGCGTCTCTGCTTGCTTCAGGGCTGGGAAATGAGAGCAAGAGTCAGAGCGGACCTGCTGGCAGGACGTGTTAGCTCCAACTTCGTAATTAAATTCAGACATCAAAGGAGAAAAAGCTAAAAATAAAGGACAATTTGGGGTGTGGAGTGAAGTTTCTCTCTCTAATAACCCTCCTTGGATTGCGAGGCCTATTAAAACCATCTCCCACAACTTTGCTGGTGTTCTCTGGTTCTTGATCTAAGAACCTACCGCAGTCCACAAGCTTCTGCCTTGCCAAAGAGGGGAAGGCGCAGAGGCGTCCCTCTCCCCATGCCAGAACATCCTTGAAGGAGGCTAGTTGTGTGTGGAGGGGCGAGCAATTGCTATACAACATCTCAGTCCTTTGGAGTCTGCTGTAATATGGGACCTCCGTTGCCATTAAGGAAATGTGAACATGGTGGTTGAAGCAGGGGATGTGACCTGGCCTTTGCTCATGACACAGACTTGCATCTAGTGGAAAACACTGAGGTGCTTCCAAAACGTGGGTGTGGGGCGTGGGCCTGGGCAGGAGCTCAGCATTCACAGCTCCTCCATGCTCAGAGAGCGTGGACTTTCCCTCATTACTGACCCCACCTGCTCCATCCTTGAGCTGTGACAGTCACCCCAGCTCGCCAGCTGGGAGTCTGTGTCCCTGAAGCGCCCTCTCCCCCTGCCATGATGCACAGCGGTGGTTTTGCCCCCATGACACGAGTCGTGGTCCCATCAGCCTTGCACATTAAAGGCTGTCGAAAGCCCCTAGGCTGCTCTGTGAATTCCCACTCCCAACTTTGCTCCTTGCCCTCCAGTGCTTTGAAAGTGTTTCCCTGGCTTCCTACCCAGCAGAGAAAATACAGCAGGAGCCAGGGGTCCTTGGGGAGATGGGTATTCTCCTGGATAGCAGGGCAGTGCAGAGCCCACAGATGTACATTTACAGACAGCTTCCTGCGGTGGCAGCCATTGCTCCTCACCTTGCTGCTGGCTCTGCTGCAGGTGGGCAGGGAGACGTATTTACCACCCGTGCATTTTTACCATTCACTGGTATACCAATCAAGTCAGGCTCTTAATAAATGGCTGTGGAGTGCCATGTTGTGACTCCCCTGTTTTGTTCTCTCTTCCAGGCATCCTAGAATTCACATCCGGACGGGTTTGATCGATGCCCATCTCTACTGCATGAAGAAGTGCGTGGTGGACTTCCTTGCAGAAAACAAGTAAGGACCTGGGAAGGGCGGGGGTGGGCACAGGGAACCAGGGGCTTGCTCTAAAGCAGCTTCCCGATGGCAAGGTTTGCACTTCTGCGCATGTCACAGGAAATCAGCAGAATCTTGCACCTGCTTCTGGAATCAGACAGTTGGCCATGTGGTTTAGCTGCCTTTCACAAAGGAAAATCCCCCTTCCAAGCTCTGGTTTCTGCCTAGTGTCTTTGTTTCAAGCCCTGCAGCAGCAGAGTTGAAAGCAGAAGCTTTTGCCTCCTGTTCTGATCACTTCTGCATCCCTTGCTTCTCCCCATGCAGTGTCCTAGGCTCTTCGTTTCTCTTCTAATGTCCCCATCGGATAGGACCGTTAATACCTTTCAGGCCTGTGTCTTTTCTGCACCCAAGCTCTAGTCTGACCCTCTGCGATCACCTTTTCTCCCCCCTCTTTGCACCCACTAACCCTGCAGGCAGGCTATCTCCGGAGCATCCTCTGTTCTTAGCTTGTGGTGTTCCCATGCGGAAACTCCAAGACCACCCACCAAGGGGAAGGAAAATGTCCATTTATGGAAGAACAGAGTGATCCCGGCTATAGTATTTCATGAAAGAGAGGGAAAAAAATCAATGTGTTTACCTTAAAGCAAACACAGCAAGTAGTTCAGCCTGGGGACAGCTTTCACTTGGGAAATGGTCTGTGGCATCTGTCGTGCCCTCTACGGTTGCTGAATGTTTGCGGAGTTCTCCAGGCTGTTGCCCCACGTTAAAGTGAGATGGAGGATAAAGGTCTCGGCCAAGCCTTAGGTCCATAGCTGTATTTCTCAGGAGAGGGGCTGTTGTGAAAGAGACTTTTCTGTCAGCTCAAGCATGATGGAAGGCAGAAGTGCAGCCCTTTTAGGGCCAAGATCCCCGCTGGGGTTGTGTTGGGGGGGCTCCGTCCATCGGAGGGCTGGCCAGTGCAGGGCCTCTGCGTGCGTGCATTTTAGATGGAACCTGCATGGTAACTACCAGCACTGTTTCTCCCTCCTGGTGCATATGGGGTTTATCTGCCGGGTCTCCGTTGCTGTCAGCTGTAGCTGGCAGATGGCATTTTGGGAGCATGCTCCTGCGTCACCTGGCTTCTGAAGCCCTCATCGTACCAGCTCGCTAGCAGGTAGGAAGGCAGGAGCCCTCAGAGCTCTCAGCCTAGCCTCCTGTGGTCACAGGACACCTCTTGTCCAAGGTGTCCACAAGATCATCTACTCTGCTTTTTTTGGCAAGCATGCCATATATTAGCCCCAAACCTTCCCCAGAGGCTCTGATCCCCTTCCCAATCTGCTGCTCTGCTTTCTGCTCCCTGCCCAACTTCTTGCCTTCTGCTCCCTGCCATGTCTATCACCATGCTGCCTGCCCCCTCCCTCATCTGCTGCATGCCACATGCAGTGGGTGTCCATGCCAGTCGTGCCACCCGTGCTGCAGGTTGGCCACCCCGATCCACTCCAAGCCTTCCCAGGCTCCAGAGCAGAGCACAGATTCCTCCCCGCAGGTGGCTGCATGTTTATCTTCTTTCATATACGTGTTTATTATTCATCCAGCAGCCAACTGGGACAGAGCCAGTCAGTGCACAGCATTGCCACGATTGGAAAATGGGACCTCTGCCATGATGAATAGGTTAGGCTTTTAGATCCCAGCATTGGTGGGCATCCTCTGCTTGTTTTTCTTTGCTGGGGAAGGGAAGGACAGTGCCTGCCCAGAGAGCTCAGCAGCAGCGAAAGACCCCGTGGAAATTTTTGCTTCACAAGTACTGACGTCTGCATAATTGTTTTTCAATCCAGAGAAAACTTTCCCAAAGGCTTTGCTTCTCTGCAGTTTCACACCAGGGCTGGAGAAGCTCCGATGCTGTGTTTAAGTTGCGTGCGGTTAAAACTAACAGCAAGGACTGAAGCGAACAGAGAAGCTGTTGTGCGGTGCCAAGCAGCATTGACACAGTGTACTTCCTTGGTATTACAGTATTTACATTGTGTTCATGTTTAAACCTGGGGGCAAGTTGGCAGGAGTAGCACTTTCTGCCATTGTTGTAGCATCACTGAGACCTCTCATTTTTTACCCATTTTTATTTTGACATACACCATCAGAAAAAGCTTTGCTAACAGTTAAAACAATGGGCTCAGGTTGCAGCAAGGGAGGTTTAAGTTGGATATTAGGAAAAACTCTCTTACTAGGAGGGTGGTGAAGCACTTGAACAGGCTACCCGGAGAGGTGGTGCAGTCTCCATCCTTGGAGGTGTTTAAGCCCCAGGTAGATAAAGCCTTGGCTGGGGCAATGTAGTTGGGGCTGGTCCTGCTTAGAGCAGGGAGTTGGACTAGATGTGACCCCTTGAGGGCCCTTCAACCCTCATTTTCTTTAATTAGTCTGATTCTGTGATCGGGTCCTAGTGCTAGCTATAGTACTGCATGCTGCAGAGGAAAATGATGGTTACTTCCAGGTCAGGGGTTTACTGGGAAAAAGTTGTGGTGTTGAGTCCTGCCCTCCCTGGTGGGAAAAAGGGCTGGCCAAACACGAGGTAGTATCAGTTTACCTGGAGCTGTGATTTTCATCCAAACGAGTGGAATTGGTGCAGTTTGTGTATGGGTGCACTTACATTGTTAAGAATGTCTTAAATTGAATTAAATCTATTTGTAATTTACTGAATCAGGTAATTTCATCCTTTCTTAAACTCTTAAAATGTCCATCCCATTGCCTGGCATCAGTGTCACTAAATCAGTGCACATATGCAGCACACAGGTCTGAGGATGCTGAGCAAACTGTGAAGGCAGGAAAAGTCTCCATTGCCTTTAATAAAAACTTACTGTTGTTCCCCATGCAGCCCAGGCAGTGATTTCTGTCTTGGATGTACGAAGCTCAGGTCATGGGCAAGCCAACCTGCAGTGCAGGGACTCTGCAGAGAGACCATTGCAGTTTGAGAATGGGCAGGTCACTTCACCTTGCCATGCCTTAGCTTCCTCCTCTGCACAGGGCTGTCCGGAGGCTCCGCCAGCGATGATCCGATGGAAGGTGTCATGTGGAGGGCGAACAGTTATTAACCAGCATAGAAATTTGCCGGCAGAGCATCTGACCCGTGATCAGGGGAAGCGGCTGTTCTTGTGGTCTGCTTATTTTGAACAAGTCTAGGTCAGACGCACACGTGTCCAAGCACAGCCAAGAGGGCACAGCCCCTGCATTCTGTTTGAACCCAGGGGCAGGTTGTTTTTCAGGGAAGTGAAGCCCTTTTCCATCCTCCTCTTAGACAGAATAGGTTTTTGGCAGCTATAACTTCCCCCAGGCCCAGCTATGTCATAATCCCTATCCCAGCTAATTCGACCAGCAATCATATCAGTCATGCCCAGCCCCTGACATAATGCATGTGCACAGATGTGGCCCAAACTCATTCTCTTCCAGGGTTGCTGATAATAAAACAAGAAACGTGCTCTGCCTGCAGATTTCCAGGCAAGACCCTCTGTCCCCCCTGCTCTAACGGGGCCAGCCTGGTAGAATTGCCATGACAGGGCAAGCAGAGTATAGGCTTCAGAGACTCAGCTTCTTCAGATGGCATCCTACACCTAGCAGCTTGTGAGAAGTTCAGTGTTTCTTTTAAACGTCTCCTCTGTCAGGATCGAGCTCAGCTGAGGAGTGGGGCTATAGTGGAAGGAAGGTGCCGCTTTGATGGGAGAGTGGGCAATTGCCAGTTACAGGAGCCCAAGGTAGGATGGCTCTGGGCGAGCACCTGCAGCCCTGGCAGGCGCCTCAATACTACATCTCTCCCAAGGATCGGGACACAGGCGAAGCCAGCAAGCCGTCGACAGAAGGAGAGACTGTGGCTGGCGGGGGGCACGGCCGCACCTCACACCTGGCGGGGCTCCGGGGTGCTGCCAACACAGTAGCCAGTCCCTTTTCCTGGCACTTTCCTGTGTGCCAGGTTGGACTCTTGCCTTGCTGCTGCAAGCAGGGAAGATGGGAAAAGAGAGGCCTTGTTCCTTCTTTCCCCCCTGAGCCCAGTGTGCAGCAGAGGGCAGGATCTGGGCCGGTGCCTTGTGAGCCTTGCCTGCTGTGTAGGCACGCATCAAAGGTCTGTGCTATGTGCTTAGAGCTCACTGCTTGCAAACCCCAGGAAACTTCTAGTGGAAAAATTATGATCCCGGTGCAATAACCTAGTCTTTGTGTGTTGCCTTTCCAGAATATTTCCCAAGCCCTGACACGGTGAGATAAAGGTTGGCAGACATTCTGGGGTTTTTTTTGTTTTTAAACACAGAAGTTTTTGACACTGTAACAGTGAAATCCCTTAGACTCTCTCAATCTCCTGCTGGAAGACTGGGGGGTGGGTGTGTCTCTGGATGTGCAATACGTGTTTGTAACGCACGTGCAGCGGGGAGAATATCAAGCTTGCAGCCAGTGACAGGCACAAATGATAGCATTTATGGTAGATGTCTACATGCTTGCTTGTCTTTACAACCGAGTCAGTTAGACATCTGAATCCTGTCATTTTGACCCACAAAGAGTAGAAAACCAGAGGCCTGGCTATGGCTTCTTTAAAAGAAAAAAAAAAAAACCTTCCTTACTTATAATCCCCTCCCCACCCAATCATGGTTGTTAATTTTTTCTTGGTGCAGATATTTTTTGGAACAGTTCTATCCCCTGGAAAGGCAGGCTTGTAATTGAAATACGCCCTTAACCTTAATCACACCGTGTGTGTCCCCAGGGCTATTAAAAGACTATTTAGCTTGCAAAGTTGAGCATTGGAAAGTTAGGAAGTTTCACCAGTAAGGTTTCCTGTGCAACCTGAATTTGGTCCCTGTGTGCTGTGCATTATGAGACGGTCTTTAATTACATGACCTCATACTCGTTTTTGTCCCTGGGATCATTGCCTCAGTTGGTGCACGTGGTGCTCAGTGAGCAAGCAGCTCTTCGGTGTTTTGCTCCATCCTCCACTTCTCAAATGGTGGTCCCATGCCTTACTACGTGCCACTCAAATCCTCCTCTGAAAGCAAAATAAATCATTTCCTCAC